TTGTACAACTTACATGACTGCATAAATAGTCTGCTTACCATTTTCACTATGGGTGGGTGTTTGCTCATTTTAACCCTTTGACTATCACATATTGGACATCACCTTCTTCTTTCTACATATACACACATACATACTTACATGTAGATACATATGTGTATAGTTTAAGTTATATAGTACTTTCAAAATACACTCCAAGGAGATTGAGAATATGGTAGAAATTTTAGTTTTCCACTATTACATCTGTGTGACAATATTCATGTGAGAACAGTAACTTGAACACATGAATTATAAATAAAAAGTGATACTCAGGCTAACAATGGCAGCCAGAACCTTTCAACTGATACAGCACATGATAAAAAAAAATCACATAGAAACCATTGAGATAAAGACTGCAGCTGGAGGGGAATTTCTGGGTGTTTTTGCTTTATGAATATTGGCAGATTGTTCTCTCTGGTTGCACTTCTCCCCAGCAATGTCTGAGAAAATTATATTTTCTGGGAATCACCAGAACATCAAGAATGCTTCAGTGTCCAAGTTCAGAAAGGTTTCTGTCTTTGAAATAAATCACAGACAAGCAACACTAGAAACCACAGAAACAAGCAACACCATAGAAACGACTCACCCACAACTTTAGCATCAGAAGGCTATCAGTGCGACTCATATCTTAGCAACTGTGCAAGTACCAGATGCCAGTTGGACTCTAAGATAAATTATGTCATTGTGTCTATTTGCATTTTAGAAGAGGGCCATTCCATGACCAATGCCCATCACCGATAGATATTTCTCAAGGGGCACTGGCCTAAAGTCTCTACATGAGGCAGCACCTGTCCTGTCGGAGTGCTCGGAGAATTTGTATTTAAAATTCCTAGCATCCATTGGAAAGTCACAAAAGTGCAATCAAGTGAAATAAAGAAAGCCAGAGACTTCAGAGCCCCCTGGGAAACAACTTCCAACACTGCACCGGGATACCTGCAAATGGTTCCCAGCAGACGGATGTGTGTGACACACAAAGCCCTTGGCTTCTTACTGAGGGAGAAGGTTCCTTAAGGGAGTGGCTGGCAGTTATTTCACTAAGTATAAATAAGTGCTTTCAATATGTATTCATTTCAGCTAATAGATGTTTACATAACCAGTGTTGGTTGACTACCTATCCTATGCCAGAAACGGGCTGGGTGCTGTGAGTTAGTGGGAGCTCCATTAACACAGCTGATGCTCACTAAGCATTTTCTATGTGACACGATCTGTGTCAAGTACAGTTGTTTCCCTCTACAGTCGTCTTGGGAGGTTCTAAGTACAACCGTCCTCATTGCAACCTTGTGAAGTGTGAAGCTAAAGTCCTCCAAATAACTGTCCAATGTCAGACAGCTAATACATCCTGGAGCCAAGGCAAGACCCAAACAAGGTGCTTTGGGTCCCTAAAACCACAAATGTGTGTGTTGTCCTAGAAAGATGAGCACAGGCTGAGTGACTCTGAAATCCGGCTGTGGTTTCTTCCCATTGAGGAAATGCATGTCCATTATAGGCCATGTTGAGATTAGGACCCAACTCTAAACACAACTTGTTTATTCTTCCAAAATGCATTTATAAACAGCCTAAAGGTAATTTGATGATGCATAGTGTTCCTGCGTTCTGTCTGGGTCTTTGTCACATGAGGACAGGCATAGAATTTTCTACTTGTTCCATCATCGTGCCCAACACATCACAAGACTTAGATTTGGAGCTATGAATCATTCACCCATACAACAGAATCTACAGTCTAGTCAGAGAGACACAGACAACAAAGATGATGGTGGCTGGGGAAAATCGGGAAGTGAGCATTTGTCTAGGACTTCAAAGGTACCTTGAAAGCCGAGGAATGTAGAAGAAAAAAAGACGTAGCACTAGGAAGCCATGAGGATGTGATGGTGGAAAGGGTTTATCCACACGAACAGAAAGTCCACATGGAGGGGTGAAGCAAAGGAGAGAGAGTCGCTAGAGAGCCAGGTCCCCTCATGGGGGGGCTTTGGATGTCCAGCTAAATTACAGCACAAACTTTTGAGATCAGTCTCGGAGACCTATCGTCAATTTTAAACCAGGGTATGAAAAGGTTGGTGCTAGGTTTATGGAGGCAGCTTTGCAGAATCCTGCCAGGCTCTCTGTAGAGACATCACACCATGTCTGCTTCACACAGGGAGAGCTTGATACTAAGAGATGAAGCTCCAAGAACTTAAGTAGAAAATTTTGAGCCTGAAAGGAACAAAGGTGGTGACTGGCAGGAGCTCCCGCAGCTCCGGTTCCAGGAAACAATAAATGCCATCCCTTCCCAAAGGAGGTCGGGACCCTATGGCTGAGACAAGGCTGAGCGGGGGACAGACAGAGTTGGAGCAGAACACGTCTGCGGCTCACACCGACTAATTTTGAGGACATCAAACTGGGAACAAGTCCTTTGATCGACCTCACATGCATGCCTCCAGATGAGACTATTTCAAGCCTGAAAGAGAATTCTTCTGAGGAAAAGATTTTTTTCTTTTTTATATTTCTCATAAACAGTTAAGTTTTATAAGGAGGCACGAGGAGCTAAAATTAAACTGCCTCAATTATGTGGCTTCCAAACTTACTTAAGAAACTCACAGAGCACTTTTGCAAATTGCCAACAGCCATGAGAAAGAGGATTGCAAATCCCTACAGGAAGCAAGCATTATATTCTGAGCAGACTTCCCAGGCCTTTTGCCCTACCACAGAGTGGCTTCAGCCATATGCCTGCCCTCCAGGCAAAGGGGGCTAAAGGCAGCAAATTGGATTCTGATTCCTGAAGAAGATGCCTCTGTGCTCTCCTGATGAGTGATGCAGTCCGCTCCTCAAACAAAGTCAGCTTCCCCCTGTTAGGGACACTGTCCTTAGTTTTCTGGACTGTTCTGCAGTTCCTTTCTGCTTGGGCATCATCCGACTCATTAGAGAAACTAAAAGGGAGTCCATTCTGCATAGCGAGATATATACAAGGGTTCATTCCCACCAGTTGTAACATTCCCAACATGACTGAATGTCCATCGACAGAAAAAAGGAGCGCAGGAGTGTACAGAGAGACATTCTTTTCAAAAACACCGTGTTGAATTAGAATACACTGATAAATGATTCCTAAAGTTTGGTCATTTATTTAAAAATCTGCATTACCTACTGGCTTGCTACTAATAGAGCAGAAATATTAAAATGTACATGGATGCCATAGCTTGATTATCTCCCCCAATTTGGATCTCAATCACAAATTTAATGATATTTGGAGTTGAAGCCTTTAGAAAGTGATTTGTCATAGGGCTTTGCTGGTGTGACTAGGCTAATCTATTCCTAGATTAACAGATCACTAATTTATCAAGAAAATGATTTTGGTATAAACTTACCCTGCCTCACTATGAGAACCAATATTATGATGTAATGCTGTTGAACTTCCCAGATTCCAGATCTGTCAATCAAACACAACCCTCTGTGCTTTGCAAGTTACATCGCCTGTGTTTTTCAACTATAGCAACATAAAATGGACTGATTCAGAGGATATTCCTAGTTGCAGTTTGAATCAGAATTGGGTCTCATAGGCTCATGTGTTTGAAATCATACTTTTCTGCTACTGTGGTAAAATACCATGACCATGGAAGGTCATGGGCGTTGAGTGCAGAAGGTTAGTGTCCATGATGGCAGGGTAGAGGCACCAAGTGAGGTGACTGGAGCTAAGAGCTGAGGGCTCATTCCTCAAACTGTAGGCAGGAAGCAGAGAGAGCAAACTAGCAACAGCCCCTGGTTTTAAAACTTCAAAAGCCACTTCCCTCCAGAAAGGCCGCACCTCTTACCAAAGCTGACTGGGGACCAAGTATCCAGATAGCCAATGGGAAACATTACATTCAAAGCTCCATAGACGCATAGTGAGGCATCCAACCAACAGAGAACACATACTCAGCGGAGTCACCAAGTCAAATCCAACATCCGAATTTTCTCCAATGCAAGCATACCTTTTGATGATATCTGAATTACTGGAGCTTGACTGAGAAAAATATTCTTTGTGGGCCTAATGTACTCGATGAAACTGTCTCAGATGGGCTGGGGTATGGCTCATCCACAGAGCACTTGCCTGGCATTTCTTGGCCCTGGGCTCCATTTCTAGCACTGAAAAATTGCTTTGGGAGATTTAGTCCAATAATTGTATATTAATAGATTCATGCATGTATCGTGTTTATGGATCCACAGGTATCCAAACTATTAAATGGGGAGGAAGACAGGAATCGCAGAGACAAGATAGAGGGCAAGAAGAGCTGCCCTGCTCTGGGAGTTTGCCTGTTCTTATTTAAACCTCAGCGAGCCCTGAGGTGGCATTAGTAACCCCATTTTGCAGTCAGTTGTGATGACAGCAACACTGTGTTGGGATAAAAGAGCTTTTGTAGTCACTGATGGTATTTTGTCATCCTTCAGGCATGGTGCTAGGAGATTTGCAGCAATTTATGATTTTTGCCTTGTTTCCTTGTTCCATGTAGTTAACAGAACACAGATTTTCAGGGTTACAGGTACTGTATGGAAAAGCAGGAACTCAGGTGCCTGCCCCTCACTATGCCAAGCAGAACTGCAGGCAACGAGGCCAAGGCACAGGAAGCCCTTACCTGGCATACATGAGTAGTGAGTGGGTCATTGGAGACTTGAACTTGTTTCATCTGATTCCCCAAATTACCTTTTCCAGGCAGCTAGGGCATCTTCAATGCTCCGGAGGATGTGGGGTTACATTATTTGTGCCTGAAACTCTAGAGTCTAGAGGCAGAACACTGTGTTGACTTCAATCTGCTGACCCTGGAAGGGTCCTGCCCAACTGCAGTACAAGTTCTGGTAATGAGCTTGGACTTTGATTGCAGTGTTGCAGGAAGTGGCTGGAGGAGGCTGACCCAGAAAGTAATAAAGTCTTGTGGTTTAAAAAAAAAAATAACACCACTCGGACACTCTAAAGTGAGTAGCCATTCACTCGTGTATGTGATCTTTTCTTTTTCAAGGGAACAGGTGGAGCGCTGTGGTGCAGCAGAGAGCTCAGTGTTCCACATGGCCTGTGCCAAGCCCCTAACAGTCTTGCTTGTGTCTTCTTTCAAGGTCCACAGAACAAGTAAGTCCAGGTCTGTGGTTCTTAACCATGGGTCTGTTTGACCTAACAGACACAGGAGGGATACAGCCAGTGGAGGGTCTTGCCACAAGGAATGTTCAACAGCCCCACTTTGTGTCAGTATTTTGTATAAGAGCTGTTAAAAAATCCATAAACAATTTCCCCAATCTATCATTTATCATCATGTGGATGATATATTACTGGCTGATTCAGATACAATTTGGAGGAATGTTTGATGAATTAAAGGGAATTTTGCCTTGCTGGGGATTAAAAATTGCTCCAGGAAAAAAAAAAAAAACATGAAGAGGATATTTTATCTAAGGTATAAGACAGGTTTTCAGAAAATTCAACCACAAAAAGTACAAATCAGGAAAGATCAATTACAAACTCCTAATTTTCAAAAATTGCTGGGAGATATTAACTGGCTAAGGCCCACAATTGGATTAACTACTCAAGAGCTAGGTAATTTATCTCAAACCTTACGGGTGGTAAGTACAATAGTCCAAGAAAATTATCAACTGAGGGTGAGAGAGAATTGGCTCTGGTGAAAAAGAAATTACAGGCTGCGTATGTGGATCGCTTGGATCCAGAGCTTGATTGTGTCCTAATCATATTACCTTCTACCCATTCTCCTACAGGAATTCCTATGCAGAAAGAAGACGATGTCCTGAATGGATATTTTTACCACACAGAATAAAAAAGTAAAGGCCTCATGGTATTGTTAGATTTTCCAGAATCACTTAGTATAGTTACCGACTCTCAATATGCATAAAGAATTGTTTTACATATTGAAACTGCTGGACTTATTCCAGATGATTCAGAATTAACTTTGTTATTTATTCAGCTACATCAAGTGTAATTGTAAACAGAAATCATCCATTGTATATAACACATATCAGATCCCATATGACTTTACCAGGTCCTATGGCACAAGGTAATGATGAAATTGATCAGCTATTGGTAGGAAATGTGCTAGAAACCTCAGAGTTTCAAAAAATAAACACCATGTTGATAGTACAAGTTTTTTTTTTTAAAAAAAGATCTTTCCACCACTTGGCAACAAGTCAAGGGAATTATAAGGAAATGTCCTTAACCAAACTCCATTACCTGTAGGAAGTAACCCAAAAGGTATTCAAAGAAATGAAATTTGGCAAATGGATGTGTTTCATTTGGGGAATTTAGAAAATTGAAGTATGTCACCATATCATAGATACTTATCAGGCTTTCAATGGGCAACTGCTCTGCATTCTGAAGAGGCTGATTCCGTAATTATACATTTATTAGAAGTTATGACCACTATTGGGATACTTGCACAAATTAAGACTCACAGTGCTCAAGTATGTGTCTCTAGAAAAATGAAACAGTTTTTTTGCATATTATAAAATAAACCGCCGGGTGTTGGTGGCGCACGCCTTTAATCCCAGCACTCGGGAGGCAGAGGCGGGCAGATCTCTGTGAGGTTGAGGCCAGCCTGATCTCCCGAGCGAGTGCCATGATAGGCTCCAAAGCTACACAGAGAAACCCTGTCTCGAAAAACCAAAAAATAAATAAATAAATAAAAATAAACCATATTACAGTTATACCACACAATCCTACTGAACAAGCAATTATAGAAATCTCCAATATACTTTAAAAGATATGCTTAATAAAAAAATAAAGTTCCTCAAAAAGAAAAAAAGATATGCTTAAGAAACAGAATGGGGTAATAAAGACCCCTGGAGATAGATTACACAATGCTTTATTAACTTTAAAATTTTTAAATGCCGATGAGAAAGGAATGACTGGTGTAGAAAGACATTGGATAGTAGAAAAATCTAATGAGTTAAATTATCCTGTATATTTTAAAGATGTGTTGACTCAGAATGGAAACCAGGATGTGTTACATTGGGGAAGGAGTTTTGCTTTTATTTCCACAGGAGAAGAAAAACTATGGATACCACCAAGATTGATAAAGATTAGATTCAAACAGAAGAGACCTCTTGATTAGGAGAAGCAATAGTTCATCAAACAGCTTGGTCATTTAGTCCAAACTAACTTAAAAGACTAACAAATGCCTTTTATTTGATCTCTATGAAAAATAAATTTTATTAAAAGATAACACCTTTTCTGTTGCCAAAAAACATTTTGCCTTAACAAAGTTCTACCCTGCCAAAAAAGAACTCCCCAAAGTTAGTGTTGGGACAGGGTTTTAGTTTTGTCTTTCCAGGAGAATAAAAACATCCAACTAAGGAATCTAAATCCCACTGGACAAATGACACATCTAAAGAAGGACAAATTATCAAGAGAAAATGTTCCAAGAAAAAGAATAAATTGGCCTAATGACATAGGTAGAATTTCCTAAATCTTCCCAAATGTTTGTTTTTGCTGCTCTCCACAAATGTAAAATGCAAATGGTCTTTTTGTGGTCCCAACTCAATTAAAAATCAAAGCTGGCTTTGGAGCTGGAACTTGGCTCTCTCCTCTAAACCCAAGAAAGCTTGTTAAAGGAAAATCCAAAATCTCTGTCTCATGTCAGAAGGGCCATCTGGTATGCGATGGAAGAAAAACAAAAATTAGGAACTATTCTATTGCCACTAATCTCATAATACTTTGGTTTTATTATGAGCCTTTGAATATATATATATATATATATATATATATATATATATATATGTATTTCTACCTTCTATCATAATATCAATGGTCATATAGAGTACTCCTGATTCTAGAAACAGGCTTGTTCTAGCTTCCTATATGTGATTTCAGGCTTGAGTCTGAAGCAGGTAACTAAGAACTAAGTTTGTGTCCCCCAGATGAATTTAATAGATTATGGTCCTATAACCCCTTTGGCATCTGCTGCATAGGACATTCTGCAGTGAGCCATGATCATTCCTAACAGTGGCCTTTGAAGTCTCCAAAAGGATGTTGGAGCCCCACAATGATGAATCCACCTGGACTGTGATAACATCCTTAAGTTGACAAACACCATCCAAAGATCAGCTTTGGACTACAAACTGATCAAGACAGCTTTAATAGAGTTATCGAAGGTGGTCCAGCCTCGTAGACTACTCCAGTCAGGACATTCCATAAGCCTTGCACTCTCCCCTCACACCAAGATTGGGCAACAGCTAGCTCTTTCCAAACTTGACCTTTATCTCAATTTTTTCAGGGTCCTCTAAAGATGCTGTTTCCCCTAGACAGCAAGAAGTAATTTTAAGAACATGATACCCACATTCCTAAGAGGTGGGGTGGGCGGTTTGGGACTTTTCAATGGATGCTTGTAATCATTTAGGGGGGTTGGTCACAAGTTGTTATTGGTCATGGTCATGAAGGAAACTAAACAAAGGAATTAGATTGGGGATCTCATTCTGAAAAGAAAAAAAGCGTATACAGGAATGATAGGATAGAAGGGTAGATTATTGAATCTACTCTTACACTAAAAAGCTACTGCTAGTCTCAAATATTTTACTTTGGTATGCATTTTTGTATATGATACAAATTTGATGCTATTTTTGTTTCAACATACTATAAGGTATTGTACCTATGTCACTCATTTAAAATCATAAAGTCCTAGTTCTTGAAAGCTGCTATTACAACTGTTTAGGATAATTGAGGTAACAATCAAACTTATAGTAATGTTAGGTATGCTTTCAAGGTCAAATAGAGATATATTTTAGATAGACGCCTGGTCTTCAAATACTTCAGATATCTACGGACTATAGCATTTAAGAAGCTTTACTACCATATGGCTTTTCATGGCAGTGAAATATGTCTGCTTCTGCAGCACCAATCTACTTCACAGTAGACGATCAGCACTGAAGAGCCTCCAATATGGAGTTTGCTTTAAATGTGGCAAAGTTATTCATAGGGGAAAAAACTGCCCCTGACTCCTCTGCTGACAGTATGCTGTCCAAATTGGATAACCAGGACACAAAGGACATTGACTGCTGAACGTTTTCAAGATTGTGGTAGCTGTCTATGTTTTCACACCATGGTTTAACAGTTACTTTTGTATTGCTGTGGTAAAACACCATGACCAGAAGCCACTTAGGAAGGAAAGTGTTTATTTCATCTCGCAGTTTAACAGTTCATCACTGAGGGGAGTCATAGTAGGAACTCAAGGCAGGCACCAAAGCAGAACGCCATAGAGGAGTGCTGCTTACTGCCTTGCTCCCCATGGCTACTCAGCCTGTATTCTTATAAAACTCAGTACCATGTGCCCAGGAGTGTCACAGCCCACAACGGACTGAGTCTACCCACAGTGATCATTAAACAAGAAATTGCCCCCATGGGTCAATATGGTGGTAGTATTTTCTCAATTAAGGTTCCCTCTTGCAAAATGACTGTAGCTTGTGTCAAATTGACAAAAACAACAACAAAACCAACTAACTGGGAAAGGGGGTAATATATGTGAAACAAAGCATGAAGGGGGCTATTTTGTTCTCAACTATAAAAATTGCAGAAGTGCCACAAAGCAAAAAAAGATAAATAATAAGCATTTTAATGGAGCCAAGTGATCAGGAAAGGTGTTTGGAAGTTCATTTGCTTAGAAAACTCCATTGATGTCTTAGACATCAATTAATTGCTAAGGTACAGAACACAAGAATACTCTGCGTTCTGTGGGGTGTCATCTGTTTAACATGGTGCTTTGCTAATTAAATGTGTAATTTGAATACGTTTTAAAAAGAGAATGTCGCACTTGAACAGGTTAAGAGAGAACACGAGTCAAGCCATCAAGGATGTTTCTAAGTGAGGTGATAATAGCCTTTGTTAAAGTGTTAAGTATTTTTAACTGTACCTCTGGTGGATTGAAAAGGTCAAAAAGAGTTAGAGACCAGTCAAAAATGACCCTTCAAGTTTGAGTCAGAAATGAAAGTTGGTTCGTGGTGCAGTATGAGTCACAATGCCTTTAACACAATCTAGGGTTGTATGTTGCATGGATACACCAGGCAAGTGGATGTACCAGGCAGAAAATTAACAGAGCCACAGTAAACAAATTTTAAAAATCCATTTACTTGAGCTGATGGTTACTCAATTTAAAAAAAAAAGGTTCATTTTTACTTTATGTTTTGTGTTTATGTTTTACTTCTGCATGTGTGTAAGCACACACTGTCTATGCTTGCTGCCTGCAGAGTCCAGAAGAGGGACTGGATCCCCTGGAACTGGAGGTGCTTGTTAGCTGCCATGTGGGTTCTGGGAAACGAACCGAGGTCTTCTGCCAAAGCAGCAAGTGTTCTTAACCACTGAGCCATCGCCCTCCCCCCTACAGGTTATTTTATAGCTCATATATCATTGGCACACAGCCACGTCCATCTAGGCCCTCATTGGCTCTTGCTTCTTTTATACTAGGATGTCAGGTAACTACAGTAGACACCTTGTGACCATCTATCTTTTGGAATCAGAACTATATTGATAAAAGGTAGTTTATTAAGTAATAGTACTCACGCAGTGACCACTTTTACAAACGATGCCTTCTAGTCCGCTCAGCCAGGCAGGACAGAGAAAAAGAGAGCCAAGTGCACGCCTCCCTCTTAATAAAACCCTTGCTACGTCACTCTGACCACGCCCAAGTGGGCATGGTTAGTGTTACCTGTGGACAGCCCCAAGCAGACATGGTCAACAGTACCTCTAAACAGGATTTCTCCCTACAACCTTTTTACAGGGAAAGCTTGCCAAACCTTGTTTTAGGAAAATGATTGCACCTCCTAATTGTCAATTTCCTCTTTAGTAAAAAAAAAAAAAAAAAAAAAATGGACAAACAGAAGCCTGGGGTTGCTATGCTGAGTTACTATGAGTGCATGGAGAAAAATCCATGCAGAATGGGTCGGCCATGCTAGCACTCACGCTGTCATGTATCCATGTCCTTGTTACATTTAGGAAACCCTGTGTGCCATGAGAGATTTTTTTCTTCTGTTTTTCAGTCTTCAGCCAAGGTCCAGGTTTATTTCAACTTGCCCCAGTTGTGGAAAACCTGCTGAGACATCCCTCTTCTGAGGTTCAAACCTCCACTCTTTTCAGGTCCCCAAACACCTCTGGAATGGAATATGTGACCTGAATATTATGCAGGCAACAACTTGGTGGGAAAGTCAGTGAAAGCTGCCTGGAGATCACAGCATCGAACGAAATGCCTGGGGCCAAAAATTGACATTGTGGAGTTTTCTGTTTGCTGGGACCTTTGTATGGATCTTACCAATTCAATGTAATTAATATGACATGGTGAAATTTACAAACTTCGAAACTTTTGAGTGTCATATTTTAGAACATTTTGAGATTTGCTTTTTATTTATTTGTATTTGTGTGATTGTGTGTGTGTGTGTGTGTGTGTGTGTGTGTGTGTGTGTGTGTGTGTGTGTCCCTGTGAGTATGTGCCACATGTGTGCAGGGGCCAGAGGAATGTGGAAGTTACTGGATCTCTGAGGAGACTCTGAGATCCCTGACTGGAGCTGGGAATTACACCCAGGTCTCAGGAAGACCAGTGCATACTCTTAAACACTGAGCCACCTCCCCAGTCCCATTGTTTAGAATATTCTGGACTTCAGATCTTCAGTTAGGATAGCTCAAACTCTATTTCTAGAGGACTCAGAAGCTTGTTACTTAAGGTTGTCTTAAAAGTTTGCCCTGGACAACCATCAGGAAGTCTCGATGCTCCATTTATGGGACCGGTGATTGCCCACATCGCCTTTAGACCCAGTCTTGTCCTCCACCCCTGGTTGGAGAATGCCAGCTGTTAACAGTTCACTGATACACCTTTTCTGAAAATTGCCCTGAGATCAAGAAACACAGCCCTAGAAGATCACTGGGCTTTAGCCTGCAGCTCCTGACCCATGAGGGACCAGTCTTGTCTCAAAGGGGACTAAGGCTGTGCTGCTATGCCATTCCATGGCTTGCCATGAGATTCAACATATTCCTGGATCCTGTGGGCTGCCGTCCTGTCTATCAAATCCCTCAAACTATAAATACAGCCTATTTTCTACCAGTTACACTACCTAGGGTGACACATTGTTGTGTTTCTGTGTGCTGAGCTGCAAAGCAATCAAATACTATGATTGTCTTTTTAAGTTTTTGTGATTTCTCTCATTAATGTGTGTGATAATGGTAACACACGCTTAGCTTTTTAAAAACCTTGTGGCTAGCTTGATGGTAGCAATCTTCTAAAGCAGTAGTCAGTGGCAGGAATCCCGTGTGATGAAGACAAATGCATGTGTTTGTTAAGCTCCTCCTTGCATAATAGTTGCTGGTGTTCTTCCCTCAGGCCAATGTAATTCCTATGCCCAAGTTCAGACCAAGGGAGGAGAGAACTAGAGGAAGATGGGGATACATGGAGTCTATCCTCTGACCCCAGATACCATTTCCTCCTCCCTGGGGAGGGAAATCATCCACTTCTAAAATTCCCCAAATTTCAACCAAGCATCAGGTGTAAAGTCCGTGAATGAATGGCTCATCGGGGTCCAGATGTGGACAAGGTGGTCTGAACACAGCTTTTTAGATTCAAGTCTTCCTCACCCAGAGAGCTGAGACAGAGATGGTGACTTGGAGACCTTCTGTGGCCCAGCTAGGCACCTGTCATTTGCCTTCTGCTCTGCAGCAAGGAAGACAACCTACCTGAAATCCAGCCTTGCCCTCGAGAGTGATTCTGTCACTCCCTTGAACTCTTGCCTTCACCCTTGGGATGGAGCCTCTTTGCTCTTTTCTTTTCAATACAAAATGGGCCATACTTGCCGCTGAATGACTGCCTCAGCCTGCTTCCTATCCACAGCAATCTGAACTTCTGAATCTTCTTCATTTTCACCTTTTTCATCTCTCTCTCTTTTGTTTTGCTAAACTTCGCATAAACTTTTTGTGTGGATTTGTTGATTGCATGCCTAAAAGCTACACTGGTAATTATTTTTGAGATAGCATTTTTATTTTTCCGTGCTTGGACACTGTGCTATAACTTTCAAGACTTTTGTTTTGTCTAGCTTGAGAATCCAGGAGACACTGCTGGGAAACTTCAAAGTCTTACCTAACCCCAGAGAACTTTCAGTGTCACAGAGGAGGGACCCTCCTGTGTTCAGCACAGTCCAGTTCTCCTGAACACCCTCAGCATGTTACCCAGATGACTCTTGCAGCCATCCAGGCAGGGGGATTTTAGTCTTCCCTTTCTCAGATGGGAAAACTAAGCCATTGGGAGAAATGCCTGAGGTCACTGAGCAGAGTGTCTGGACCAAGTTAGTCCATTTAGCCATTGTGCCATAGAACCAGATGATACAGGGGCCTAAAGGTTTGTGAGAAGTTTCCAGAAGCCCTGCTGAACTGGGGAGCACAACTCAGGCTCTGGTCTCTTCTGAGGGTGCAGGGCAGCAGGACAGCTGCTGTGCTGGGTGAAGCACAATCAAACACTTTTGTTCTCTGATCCATGATGTTTACAACTGTGGATTACATGCTCACACCTGAGTGTAAGCCATTTCAAAGCATTTACAATATCCCATAGTTGTCTGCTTGTGTGCAGCCAGTGCTGAGTCACTGAGGGCAAGCATGACACTCCGACAAAGCACTTGAAATTGAGTCGGGACTCTTTGTTCTGTCACTGTAAAAGTTCACTTCACCCATCCGTGGTCACCTAAGTAAAGTTGACTTTGCCCTCCAAAGTCGGTCCTTCATATTTGGCTCAGGATAAGGTTTTTCATACTCTTTAAAGCATAGTTGTTATGCTAAACTGATGCGTCCAATCATTTTTGCAGGAGAGACCAATGGGTCAATTTCAACTCTACTTAATTCTGATGCTATCTAGCAATAGCAACAGATAACTACAGTTGAGGGTATTAGCAGCTAAACGGGACAGAAAGTAAATGAGGATGAAGAAACCCCAACATTAGTGGACCTTTACAGTAAGCTTTTGTGTCAGCTAAAACTTTTTGGGGAACCAAGCATGCCCATAAGCAATCCTGTCCACCGTCATTCCGAGACGGGCTGAGCATGCCCAGAAGTGATCCTGTCCGCCAGCATTCTGAGACGAGCTGAGCATGCCCAGGAACAATACCAAGAGATGTTTTAACCTTTCCAGCATGTGCTCCATGATACTGAATGACCCTGTCTAGAAACATTTTTGTCATCTTTCTTGAATTATGACCTTAAACTGAGCACACTCGGGAGTGAACAGAATTCTATTTATAGTACATGTTAGCTATAGGTACTTTATACTCTCTCATTCTTTTCGCCCTCCTTCCCTTCCTCCCTGTGTCTACGGATTCTTAGAAAACACTTGGAGAGACTGTAACCTAGGGAGCTACCTAGGTTACAGTATCTGGGGTCAGAGGATAGACTCCATGTATCCCCATCAGTCTATGGGGCTCAAGGATTAACACAGGTCTCTTAACCATGGGTTAGATGTTCATTTTAAACAAGGAAACTACCTTCTCTTAGGAGCAGTGTTTCTGCTCTATTTATCTGATTCAACCAGTCACTCTGTCAAACTGATATAGTTTGTATACTCGATTTTTGGTAGAGCTAGGACAATTCATTGACCCTGCTTCAATTCAGCAACCCCCTTAGGGTATTCCTGAGAAAATAAATCTCATTCTTGGTCCTGTAAACTCCTGTAAATTTAAGATGTGTTGGGTCTCTTCCAAGAAAGGTAATGTCTGACTGCAGAAACACAATAACCAATTATTACTGCTCTGTGCCAGAGTCCCTTTTAGAAACACCAATGCCTGTTGCCTCGGTGGACACAAGAACTTGGCAATCAGTTGCTGCCTGGACCCTGATATGAGCATTAAGTAGAGACTAGACTCACCCAAATGAAATGGAAAAGATGACTTCTTGTCCAGCCCAATGGCTCCAGCAGTACTGCATGGTTCTTTGGGTGAGCTTGGGCCATTTTCCTAACCCTAAGTACACACTGCAACCAAGAATACAGAGTTCTCTGGTTAGGATAGCACTGGACCACCACGTGATTCACCTCGGGGAGGGAGGATGGAATTTTTTACCTAGCTCAGAGAGGCATGGTAGTTACAGATGCAGCTGTAGTTTTTCAAAGGAAAAAGGGCTGCTGTCACCAAGGACAGGACGGGCAGACAGAACACTGTTCTGCCAGGAGGTCACAGCTGTAGTTATGGTACAATGCTGACACCACATTGAGAATTTTCACCGTGCTGCTCACAGCTGTTTCGCTGCTTTTAATACAGGTGCATGGTGGTGTCAGGCCAAGCAAGGGCTTTCCTTGGATAATCCACAAGTCAGTATGGAATTTCTAAGAAGTCATCTTTGAAGCATAAATGACACCAAATCACAGACTCTGAAGAGCTAAGAGAAGTGAGAATGATACAGGTCCTAATGTGACTGTACCTGGGGACTCTCTAGATGGGTAATATGACAGTAGCTGGAGAAAAGGCCTGAGCTGAGAGGAAGTCAGACCTGGGCTTTGATTGTAAGTCTGGCCTGGGCTCTAAGGGCAGGTTTACAAAAAGGACCTCCTGAGCCTTGGCTGGTCAGCCCAGCTTCCTGAATATTTAAGCCTCTGTCATGGATGTAGTCATTCTCATTCTGTCATTCTCTGGCTGGGGTGTTAACCAACTCCCTAAATGTCCCTTAGTGGTCATGTTCCCACACACAAAGCACAAGCCTGCTGGTATACACATCTCACATATCCACTTGTCCCAAAGGGAGCCAGGTGATCTTAGTGAGGGATGGAGTGAGCTCCACACAGACAGACTGGCCACTGGAGAGAAGAGAGGGGGGACCTCAAGACCTGTTGTTCTAGCCTGAATGGTGGATGAATGAAACCAGCACCTCCTGAATGTCTATATAAGTCAGATGACAATTCACGAGCACACTTTATTTAAAGCTCAATCCAACCACAATCAGCAGCATCTTCATTTGACAGATGGGAGCACAAAGTAGGAAATACAAACCACTTGGCCCAAGACACACAGTCTGTGAGTGACGGAGCTGGGCTCAAACATGGTCTATGTTTCTGAAGCCCACACACTCAGCACACCCCCTAAGCTTTCCTGAAATTGCCCCCTTCCCCCACCAGTGAGATGAATCCTGGCTGTCAGCCTGCGGTCAGGGAATGATGGGAGGGGGATGGAAACAGGACAGTTGTGGTGTTAGAATGGAGTTTCCTCTCCACAAGGATAATGCCTTGCAGTTTTTGCTGCTATGCTGGATTTGAGAGATTTCTGGAAGAAATGAGCAAGGCCAGGAGGAAAAGGATTGAGGGCTCAGACATGCAAAAACAAACATGAGAAATTGTGGAGCAAGAAC